CCGGCCGCCTGCTCGTGGCGGGGAGGCTGGACCGGGAGGAGCTGTGCGGCCAGTCCGCCACCTGCATGCTCCCCTTCGAGCTGCTGCTCTCCAACCCCCTGCAGTTCTTTCGGGTCGAGGTGGCTCTGGAGGATATCAATGACCATTCACCTGTTTTCCCTGTGGAACGTGTCACTTTTAAGATTGTGGAAAGGAGCGACCCTGGCACCCATTTCCCAATGGAAGCAGCTCAGGACCTCGATATTGGCAGCAACACAGTCCAGACATACAGCATTTCTCCCGAGAACAAATATTTTAGTATCTCCTATGGAACTCGAAGCACAGGCAAGAAGTATCTGGAACTGGTCTTGGAAAAGCCACTAGACAGAGAAGAGCATGCAGAGATGAGTTTCAGTGTTATTGCACTAGATGGGGGCTCTCCCCTCAGGTCTGGGACCGCTGAAGTGGAAATTGTCATTCTAGATGTAAATGATAATCCTCCCATCTTCACACAGGAGGTGTACGTTGGTCAGGTTTTAGAGAATATGCCAGAAGGCTCCGTAGTTCTAATAGTGTTGGCAACAGATCAGGATGCAGGAGTTAATGGAGAAATTTCCTACCAATTCAGCCAGGCAGTGGGACAGAGCAATTCAGCATTTGTGATTGATGCCATAACTGGGGAAATTAAACTCACAAAACCTCTGGACTTTGAGGCAGCACAAACTCACGAGCTAAGTGTGACAGCCACAGATGGCGGGGGACTCTCAGCCATCTGCAAAGTGCTGGTGGAGGTGGCGGATGTGAATGACAATGCCCCAGAGGTGGTGGTCAGCTCCTTCAGCAGTCCCCTCCCCGAGAACACAACGCCCGGCACGGTGGTTGCCCTTTTTACGGTCAGGGACCGGGATTCTGGGGCCAACGGGAAGATCTCGTGTGGCCTCGAGGATCAGCTCTTCTTCTCGCTGCGGCCAGCCTATAAGAATTACTATGAGCTGGTGACAGTGAGCGCGCTGGACCGCGAGGAGACGGCTCGCTACATCCTCAGGGTGACGGCAGCAGACGCGGGGTCGCCTCCTCTGACGAGCACGCAGACCTTCACCGTGGACATCTCGGATGTCAATGACAACGCCCCCGTCTTCAACCAGACGTCGTACACCATGTACGTGCGTGAGAACAATGTGCCCACGGTGTTTGTTGGAGCCGTCAGCGCTGCCGACGCTGACGTGGGGCTCAATGGCAAGGTGAGCTATTCCCTGGCAGCGGTGCAAGCGGCAGAGGGGCCTTGGTGCTCGTGCGTGTCTGTGAACTCTGAGAACGGGCACGTGTTTGTGCTGCGGCCCCTGGACTACGAGCGCTTGAGGCAGACGGAGGTGACGGTCAGTGCCTCTGACGCGGGCTCTCCTCCCCTCAGAGCCAACGTCAGCGTCCGCCTCGTGGTGCTGGACGAGAACGACAACGCCCC